AGAGCGTTGTGATGGGAAAGGAGGGGCAGAAAAGGAAGGACCAGCCCAACAGCCTGTCCCCCTGGGAAGATGCTGCAGAGGGTCCCCGCAGCCCGGGGCTGGGGGTAACTATGCACAGAAAAGTCAGCGCCAGGAAGGGCTTCTCTGCGGTAGTTACGAGCGATACTTACAGCAGCAGAGGCCCAGGGCCATGCAAAGCAGGGACTGGGGGGCACCTGGCCAGGGAGCGGCAGCAGCCCGTCAGAGGGAGAATGAGAAGCAGAAGACAAAGCACCACCAGTCAGAGCAGGGGTATTGTCAGGGCAACTGTTCTCCAATAGATGAATACATACAGGTGAAAAGCAAGTTAAACACGGAGTAGCTCTCAACCAAAAGCATTTTGCTCATTTGCTCCCAATGGAGAGGTCCAACAGGAAAATGTTCATGGCTCATTTTAGGCCTTCCAAACCAACCAACCAAGGCCACCTGCCATGGCAGAAGTCCCCAGGAAACACTCAGAAGAGGAGTGCAGCGACACAGCTGTGAGTTGACTTAAAAGAATTTGGATGAACTGTGAATCTGAATTTACTCAAGACTTTTCTGAGACAGCCAAGGATATTGACTTTATTTCATAATGCTTGAAAAATCTTTCACTTCATTGCTGTCACCAAGACCAAACAGTCAGCTTGCTCAACAGAAAGCAAGAGAAACGCAGAGCCGCTCACGGCAAATAATCACAGCTCTCCGCAGCGATCTTTGCACACAGAATGCTTTTGTTTTCCAGCTTAAGTGAGGACGGACACGTTACTTATGCACACAGCAAGAAAGCTTAAAATGGACAGCGAGCCACAGAGGACAGTTACAGGAGAAATACTTCTATGCTAAAAAAGCAGCAGGGAAACTGAGAAGCGCGTCCCAGAGAGCGCCGACCCCCGAGACACGCGGCGCCCGTCGCGGCTCACCGTGGTGGCACGGATGGCAGGGTGTGCCCCACAGCCCTGCGTGGCTCTGTGCAGGGTCTCGCTGAACATGCTGCGCAGCTCCATGGAGTGGCAGTACACGGCGTCGATCCGGGGCCACCAGTCCAGCGCCGACTGCAAGGGAACAGCGAGCTGAGCCTCAGGCTGCCACGGCCAGGGCTGCACCTCAGGGGGCACACAGCTGCAGGGGCACAGCTGACACACCTCAGCACCTCACACAGCAGCACCCATGCTGGTTCTGCACTCTCATCACAGAACTTGTAACAGTACGACAAGATGCGACAGGAGCAGTAATTCCACCCTAACTGCTTCCCAGGACCAGCACAAACCCTGAGCCCTGAGCCCTGAGGGAGTGGTGGGCTGCAGGACACAGTGCTGGAAGCAATGCTTCAACACCAACAGTGTGCACTCAGTTCCCTGGGACACACTAAACAAACCGGAAAATTTAAGTGCTTGATGACACCCAAAATCTGCATTACCCCACACCTCCACAGCTACAGCACCATTCCCTCCCCTAATACCTTTTTTCTTAGTATAGTGTCTTCATCCCGATGTTGGGAAAAATGCAACAGAAAAGGTTAAGCACAGTAAGTAAGGCTGAGGGCTCAGCACTCTCTGACTCCACTTTCACACTGATCAGGAAAATACTTCTAAACAGTGTAAAAGTTAAAGTCATGTTTTACTGACTTTGAATTGAAGAAGAACTGCACAGACTTTTCCAACATTTTCCTTGCCCAGCACTTAGCAGCAGTTCACACCATTTAAATCACTGCACCAAATCCCTGAGGAAAACCACAAGCTCTGCCCCAGGTCAGCAGACAGGAAGCAGCAGCAGGTGGTGCCACTGTGCATGTCCTGAGAGCGTTTTCCAATATTTATCATAAAACCAGAGACTCTCAGATTCACTTGCCATCCTACACCAGAGGGACACACTGGACATCTCCATACTGGAGTAGCAGCTCCCACACAGCGGGATCAGAGATTTGCATGTCCTTCCTTATTAGCAAGCAACTCTTGCTGCATGGATGTGAGGAACAGGATTTGGTCTGCTACTGCATTTCCCAGGCAGATATTAGCTGAGCAGGAGGCTCAGGTCGCTGGGCTGAGGAAGCACCACCAGAACTCACATTTGTGATGATTCGGTGCAGCGAGTTTACCAGCACGTAATGAAATGTTGATGGGGAATTCTGGGCCAAGCAGATCTGCAATAAAGACATATAAAGCCACTCAGTAACATCTTTGTCTTTGCCACTTTTTTATCACACTGATTAACATCCTGGAGCCTTTTTATTAAATTGACCAAGCTGTCAAATCTGCACAAGAGAAGCCTAATCAGCTGAGAACAGATTCCTAAAGACATGCAGGGATTTATTGCTAGGAGCTGTTTCTACAGCTGAACTCGTGTGTAGCTCCCAGCTGCTGCCAGCACAGCCTCTGGAGCTGACAGGTCAATAGGATGCAGGGAATGGCTGGTGTCCTCACCTTGAAGTGCTGGTTATTGTGAGGGTTGATGCGGAAGCAGGAGACCAAGCAGTCAATCATCAGGTCTACGTCTGCATTCTGATTGCCTCTTGAGAAGGGTTTGCTTGGGTTAAACAGCAAATTCTGCGTGTTTCAGAAAAACAAACATCTAGATCAGACACCAAGACTATCCTCACCTACTTTCAGTACAAAACTTTTTACTGAAAAGCACTGGAATTAAATGAAAGAGAAACTCAGAGTTCATTTCAGTATTTTAAAACTCAAATTCCTTCACTGCAATTAGGAAACAAACATTTTTACCTTCAGATCTACCACCATGGACTGCACGAGCAGGAAGATGACAGAATTGTCTTCCCAGTTGATGTAGGTGGACGCTTTGCACAGTTTAACACAAGCTATGGCAGCACTTTCAGTCAGCTGTCTGCTCCCTCCGTGGCCTGCAAGGGCCTTCCTGAGGTTGTCCAGGAACAGCTTCTGCAGAAATCAAACCAGGAACAGTTCAAACCAGGTGCTGGGATGGCAAAAACCCACTTGATGCAGCACTCTGGAAAATCCTGCATTTATTGCAGACATTCACTTTGACTGATTTGGGCCAACCAGAAGGGCACGAAGAGAGGTGGTTGCTCACTCTGACCCATAATGTTTGCAGCCACATCAACCTCAACACCTGCTCCAGGTGCTGGAATTATGGAGCACTGAGCACACACTGCAGACCCCAGAACAGCCCAATACAGCCAAGCAGAGGCAATGCTGAGTTTGCTGCTGGTGGAGGCAATCACAGCACAGAAATTCAAATCTCTGAGGAAATGGAACAGTTTGAAATAACATTGTTTGGGACACACTATCTGTGTGAATTACTGACAGGGAGAGAATGTAAGGAGAGAACTTTAAAAGGGTGTATAAATTTACATCCTCTAGAAATCAGAGCCAGAATTCAGGCACTGCTCTTACCTTGTTCATTTTAGTTTCTTCCACCACATCCTTTGCTATGTCTTGGATGATCTCTGGACACAAGACCAGGAGAATGATCTGCAGGGGCCACACTGCTGCTTTGCGCTTCGTGCTTTCAGCAAAGCCATCCACCAAGTCAAACAACTTCTCAGCACAGTCTGCACAAAACGTGAGCCCAAGATCAACACCAGTCTTAATTATGAAGAGGCAAAGAATCAGGTGACAAGAGCAGAGAGACAGTTCCACCTACACAGAAGCTCTGGTTTGCACATGCTACTGGGGTCAAACTGGTCTCAACCCACAGACCAAGACTTGGTTTACCCAAAACCATAAATTTTCCTTTCTTTGTGAGGACAAGTAAAGGTGATGTTCTTGAAGATTTCATCCTCTACTGAGATGAAGAATATACATTTAGAGAGTCTCCATCTTTTGGGGTTTATTTCTTTGTGTTGCAAAGCACAAAACGGATTTCTTTAACAAGGGGAGTCAGGAAAGAAAAGAGGTAGCCCCGTGCCCTGCCAGAGGCTGGCAGAACTGGGCTCGTGTGCAGGCTGCAGGGGCCCACAGGGGGCACAAAAAGCAAGTGAATGCACTGTGGGGACAACTGGGAAACCAACCCTTGGACAGTCACGTGCTAAGCCTTACCAGCCATGTCAGTCTGGGGAGTTTGGTACAGCTTTGTGAATTCATCAGGATAGTTCTCCACCCAGTTCCAGAAGGCCTGCAGGTAACACAAAACACCTTGACACCCCAGAGCTTCAGACGTTTATCTGCATTACTGAGCTAAGTGGAGATTTGATTCCTGATTCCAATCACTCAAAACTTTTTGCAAAACAACTGCAGCCCAGGGAGGCACCAACGTGCAAGGAGAATAAATTACTGCATTGCCACTACTCCTAAACCAGAAAAGGTCTGCAAACAAGCAATGAGACAGGAGGACTGAACACTCACCTTTTCCAGACTGTTGATAACAGCTAACTGAGCTACTTTCTTAAGGGCTTTAAACTTGAACACAGTCTCTGTAAAGATAAAACATTTCTGCATTTAGAACAGAAACTCGGTCCAAAAAGCAGTACAGGTTACAGAACACATCACAAGTGCAAAGCCATTTTCAAACCAGTGTTTTTATGCTACAAGTTTTATGTATTTTGGTAAACAGAAACGTTTGCAAGCACAGCTCAGATCTTACCCTGCAGGAGTCGCTTGAGTTTTGAACAATCCACACTGATGTACTGTAAAAGTTCAATATCATGAACATCAGCATTATCTTCTGAGCAAACAGTCAGTTCCTGCAACCTGAAAACATGCAAAGTGAACTAACTTCTCTGTCAGATCACATCAGGTATGAACACAGCTATGACTCTACACATTTCAATGGCAGGGGAGTACTCTATGATCTCAGAAATTACCATCTCAGACAAACTTTTCCAGGTTTAGAAATACAAGATGGATCTGGCACGATTAAGAGTTAACATTGTAGTCCTATGCCACCCTCATACTGAAAATGGAGCTAGATATTCCAGCTGTGAATCTTACAAGATGCCAACACCTTCTGGCAATTGTTGGTGCCCGAGAGCAGCTCAAATCCTGCTGTATCCACCATGCTGTAGCAGCAACCTTGTCACTTTTCAGCTGAACAGTGAAATCGTGGAATCACAACACCTTTAGGCTGCTGCTCCTCAGGAGTCAGTACTGCCCCGGCCAAGCTCTCAGTGATGAGCTGCTCCTCAGGAGTCAGTACTGCCCCAGCCAAGCTCTCAGTGACGGTACTTGGAATCCCCAGAGTGAGCTACAACCATTCTTGGCCTTTCTGTGGCCTGAGCAAACGTGATGAAGTTCGGTCACACCACTCAAACACAACGACACCTCTTCACACTTGTGTATCAGACAATTTACTCCACATCTCACAGAGATCAAGCCACTAATAGCTAAATCATGTGCTCCCACAAACTCGAGACTGCCATGACTTGTTCCAAAGCTACAGATGTGTTTCAGACGTGGAATGTGATTTCTAGGACTGCACACAAAAGCAGTTCTTCTTTTCCTCAGCGCCAGGGAAACTTAACAGCCCTCACTGGGAATGGGAAGGTCCCCACCGCTGTGCTCTTCATGCCAGAAATCCCCCAGCTGCTGTGCAAGGCCCAGAAATATGCCTAAACAGGAAACCCAGGTCAAAGAGCAGCACTGCTGCCTGGCGGCAAGCTGACCCCTGTGGAGACCAGCAGCGACTGGTCAAACATTTAACTGTTGCTGTACAAACCATCTGGAAGTGAAAAGCACCAGGGGAGAGTGCTGTGCTTGGGCTCAAAGGGGTGGCAGGAAGGGCTCTGGAGCTCGGGAACAGAGCATGCTGCAGGCACACAGACCCACACAGACCCAGGCACCACATTCAAAGACTGGCAAAGAATTTCAACTGGAAAACACTTCCTATAAATGGAGCAGAAGAAATTGTTTCCATTTCCATAAGCGACACAACACGATCAACCTACAGAGCTAACCACATCCTCCGTGCTAGCTGCCAAGGTTGTTCTGGAAACACAAGTTACTAAAGACTCTGTAAAAACTTTGAAAATAACGAAAATTTCAGATTAGCAAATCAATTTAGACTTATTTCTAAAATGCAAATATTTCCCAAAGGAATACACAAATGTGTGTTTAATTAGGTTGTCTCACTCAGTGCTGTGTGACCAGGTAAGGCTGTCCAAGCTCCACTTCTAACTGATCAGTTGCAACACTCAGAGCTAAGCTACTCTGAGCACCTTTCAGAAACCCCCCAAGTATTTCAGCAATAAAGAGCTTAACACACCACTCTGGTGGACTGACAAATGCTGAAGCATCAGAAGGGTCTGCAACAGGGCAAAAAATAAGCGGGAAACTTTGGGCCTGTCTCCGTTCTCACTTAGGAAAGCAGAAAGCCCAGTTATTTTTACAGTAAATGTGCTGTGAAACTCAAGTCAGTCAGAAGACAAATGGGCCTTTTCCAACCGCTAACAAACAGCACAGCTGTTTGTCCCCTTCAGGCACAAGGCAGACTCAACATAAAAGCCTCCTAGCAGGAAAAATTAGGAAGGAAAACAGCCCTGGGGCTCCAGCAGAGCTGCGGACAATAAGCAATTTTCATTCTGAATTTCTAAGCAGATGGGTACAACCCACTAGCCTCAGCATCCTTGTCGCCCAGACACCTTGCACCCCCAAGAACTCAGCTTGCTCAGCTGAATTATTTCCATCCACTATCTTCACTTGCACTTTTGAAAACAGATTTAAAGCAGTAATAAACGCAGCTCAGAGGAAACGTGCCAGGAGTGACCCAAAATGGGCAGGGAACAGGTTCATTCTGCAGCCTGAAACTCAAGCTGATAAAGGCAGAGGAGCTCCACCGAGAACCACTCGAGCAGTCAGTGCCCTGCACAGAAAGCCCAGGACTCCCCCAGGGTCCTGTGTGCTGCCCTGACCCAGCACACCCACCTGGTGGAAATGCGGCTGAAGACGGCGTTGAAGTTGTTGCAGCTGAGGGAGAAGAGCACGCCCGAGGCCGAGCTGCGCAGCTCCGCCGCGTGCTGGTTGCCCTCGCGGTAGGTGTGGATGAAGTGGCAGATCTCTGGCAGCAGCTGCTTGACCAGCATGGTCTCGTCCAGCCGCAGGGTGTCCTTCGGTTGCTGAAACAGAGAGCCAGGGCTGCCTCACTCGGCCTGAGGCAGCAGCACACAGCACCTGCCCCGCAGGCCCAGCGCTCCAACCAACCCCCAGAGCGGGCTCCAGGGAGTGTGGGGCTGCACAGCCAAACCACCTCACATCACCCAAACCACCTCACATCACCCAAACCACCTCACATCACCCAAACCACCTCACATCACCCAAACCACCTCACATCACCCAAACCACCTCACATCACCCAAACCACCTCACATCACCCAAACCACCTCACATCACCCAAACCACCTCACATCACCCAAACCACCTCACATCACCCAAACCACCTCACATCACCCAAACCACCTCACATCACCCAAACCACCTCACATCACCCAAACCACCTCACATCACCCAAACCACCTCACATCACCCAAACCACCTCACATCACCCAAACCACCTCACATCACCCAAACCACCTCACACCCTCAGTCAAGGCTCCAAGACACGCAGCACACGAGGCTGACCGATGCCATCGAGCACAACATCACCCTGGGTTTTGCCTAAGACGCTGCACACCCTGCTCTGTCAAGGAACAGCAGAGCATTGACTACCTCAGCTCTGAACCAAGGCTAAGGGGCACAGACACACCCTCACTTCTCTTTTGGGCAGGACCTTGGCCACTGCATTTTGACAGCAAGAACTGCACATGACAAACTGAACCAAAAGAGAGGTGCTGTCCCCTGCTCCTGCCTGGGATTGCTCTATACAACTCCAAAATGGCTCAACGTCCCTGCAGAAGAAAAATCTAATTTTTGCCAGTTTGCACAGTGTGAGACATAAGGAAACTATTTACAAAAGAATTCAAAGTGAAACTTTGCTCTACTAAGAGCAAGTTTTAACAGAAGGGTCAGCATTAAAGCTTTCTAAAATCTTACCCATGAATTTTCCATAGGGAATTGGGAAGTTTCAGAGACTCCCACTTAGTTGACCTGAGTCCTGTTGCCATGAGAACTTGATGAAACATTGAGCAAGAAATCCATCTGAAGACACCACAGAACACAACATGCTTTGTACAGAGCTCTGGCTCAGCCTTGTTAAACATACTCTGCCTCAAACTGGTCCCACTTGAAGGGACAGAGCGAGAAGTACTCACAGCACAGCCCTAGGCTGCCCAAACATCACCACCACTAGGAAAACCCACCGACATTTCAAACACTGTGCATAGAAGAAGTCTGTAAAAATAATTACTTTCTGAAGGTTTTTTTTTTTACTCTCTGCATCGAAGACAAAAAGTGCCAAGAAGAGACATTTACCTCAGCTGTAAAAGCTGGAAATTGTTCTGGAAAATGTATTTACTGGACCTTTTGTGATTTGAGAGGAATCCACAGCTATTCAGACTGTAAGATGTGTCACCTCACAGATCTAACCATAAGGTCATTACCTTACACAGAAAGAACCTTGAAAACCTGTTGCAGGGAAACAGCAAAGAGCTTAGATGATCCCATGACATTCATCCAGGAATAGGCTTTTAAAAAATCCCTTTCTGCTAAAGGAATAAACCATTGCAAATCTTCAAGTTTGGCTTTGCAATTACAGCTCAGCACAGTGAGTTGTACAACCACAGCCTCTCTCATCCCAAAGGAACAGCAAACTGCCTTGGAGGAGCTCCGACTGGAAACCTCAGGCCTGGACTCCCAGTGGACATTTGGACATGGTTAACTAATGCAATCTAGGAAACACCTGCAAAACTCATCTTCAGAGCAGTGGCAGCAGTTTCTCCTGGATGTACAAGCACATGGAAAATTACTTCAGCAAATGAAAGTCTGAAGAAATGCAAAGCAAAACCAGCACTGAGTGCAGAGAACTCAGGAGCCCAAACCGAAACACTTGTGCTGAACTGGCTGCTCTTCTGCCATGATTTACTACCCTAGGACTTTCCCTGTTTTAGCAGTGGGATGAGACTGTTTTGATGCATCTGTTCAAAAAACACTGAGCAGAATGTGCCGCAAGTACTCAAAGCCTAGAAAAACTCGGTGAAGCTACAGAACCACCTGTAATCCTCCCTGGGGGTTTGTGCCTCCCTGTACTCCAGTTCACGTGTGGCTCTGAGGTGACAGTTGTCTGACATCCCTTTTATCAAACTGTTAAATGAAAACCAATATTTACAACTCCTCAAATAAGCAGTGGGAAGGGAAAAGTCACAAGTTTACTTGAATCAATTTAGCTGAAAAAAGGCCACTGATTATAAGCAACAAACAGCACCCCCTAAATCTTCAGTGTATCAGCTACATCAACTCTTGCATTCATAGGGAGTTTTACAATTTTTAAATGGCATTGATCCTACTTTGCTCTAAATCCAAGGAGTTTTAACTCCAGTACCAGGAACAACAGAAACACAAGCATTTGACTCGCACTCTCCATTTACTGCTTACACAAGTCTACTCACCCCTGCCAGACATTTTTCCAGTGTATCCAAGATAATCAGCTGAGATAGGTATAAATTCTTTTCAGCAGTTTCTCCAAATATTCTCTAGAAGTAGAAAGGATATGGATTCAGCTGAGACACAGCAATTTGACTTGCAATGCATTAAAGCAGCAAAGTGGCACAGTAAGATGTGGCTCCTTCAGTGCTCTAAGTTTGAGTTTAGAAACAGTCAGCAAAATTGGGTTAAAATAGGAATGAAACCTTGTCACTAAAGAACTCTCTTTGGCCAGTCTGCAATGCCAAGTGTAGTAAGGACCAAACAGGCACCAGGAGGGAAGCTGGAGGTGCCCTGCAGCCCCTCACCTCCCCCAGGCCCAGCAGCTGCTCAGAAATGCAGGTTGTTTTGGGACCAATCACTACTGACTCTTTTCCAATTGCCTATTGCCCTGCCAACAGAATGGATATTGCACTCAATCCATATGGCCAAGCTTATTGCTGCTCACGATGGAGCACAGAGCACAGGAGCTGCAGGGTCAGTACCTTTCTGCACCCCTCCCCAGCTAAAACCTCACACCCACCCAACTGCTGACCCCTCCACAGCCAGGAGCTTCCCCTTAACCACCACCTGCCTCTGGATTTCTCTGCCAGCCCCCACTGCCTTTCCGTGGAACACACTTCCAGAGGATGCTACTGAGGAACTTCAGAGCAGACAAAAATCCAGTACAAGAGGCAAGTAGCAATTGGACTGAATTTCCAGCAATTCTCTGCAGATTGTACAGCATGAATAAATAACAACCATTTGAAAAAAATCACCAGACAATGCAGAATTGGAAACCTTACCATGTTATTGACATTTTTTAAGATGTTGGTGAGACCACTGATGACCAGGGAAAACTTGTACTTGGAAATGTTGATGAGACACTCCTTGTTGTGCTCCGTGCTGACTTTGGTGTGGGTGTTCTGCTGGCCAGCCTTTATTGGGAGCTGCAAGAGAGAACTGTGTGAGCTCCTCCGCGCTGAAATCCACAGCCCCAAGGATGGGCTACAAATCTGTGACATGCCAGAAACAACCCTGAAAAGCATTCCATGAGGGACAACTGCAAACTCATTATTCCATTTTCTCTGCGTTCATCTTTCCATTAGTTATCCATAAAACAAAACCCTAAAGTTTACCTGTTCCTTTTTCTGAATTGAAACCAAACCTCTACTTTGTGATAAATTTTGTACAAACTGGATGTCAAAGCAATCAAAAGGAGCAGAAAAATGTGAGTAAGACAGAATTCTGAGAAGAAAAGATTCTTTATATCAAAAATTGGCTCGTTAAAGACCAAAAATCTTCCGAGGCTAATACCTGAAAGAAAGAAAAAAGCATCATGGGACCTGAGAGGAGGTAAAGTCCCAGTAGCTGATGGAGAGGCGAGATGGAAGGCAGGACGAGTTCCACGAGTGCCTGCTCTGCTGTGGGACAGAGGCCCACGAGGTCCCACCCAGTCCCTGGAGGAATCACCACCACCACTCTGCAGGCCCCAAGGACAGGGGTGACACAGGGATCCCCCCACAAACACCCCAGGGAATGAAGTTCAGCCTCAAACACCTGCAGCACTGTGAGCCCCACGTTACCTGCCCTGCCAACACCCAGTGGGAGGAACCAGGCCTGGAACGCATCTTTTCCAGGGAGAAGACTCAGAGTGACCGCACAGGCCCGAGATGTTCCTCCCGCTGGGTGAACACTGGGCACTTTGTTTGCTGCTGTACCCAAATTCTTCAGGGGTCACAACAGAGTCAGCTCCCGCCCCGGAGCACCACACGGCATCTCAGACAGCTCCTGGGGAGATCCTGCACTGAGGATTGCTGGGTTTGAAAGCAAATAAGTGCAGGAACATTTGTGCCATCTGTATTTTAAAGCCTGACCTTGGAGTCCCCTGTCCATAGGAACCTGAATTGCTACTACAAGTGTTTACCACTTTCTTTGGAGCAGAACTGTGGATAGATGTGTGCTTGGAAAGACACCGCCAGCTCAGTGGAAGCACCATGGTGTGACCCTGGTGCACGTGAAAGATTATCAGGGAGAGAATTCCAGAAAGGGTCACAGAAGGATTCCAACTGCAACAAGCTGTACAGAGCAAAGTGCCTAAGGAGCCTCTTCCAGGCTGGGGGCCCTGCAGCCCTGGTGAGGGCACCGAGCTGCACCCAGGGATGCCCCGAGGGATGGTCCCTCCAGGAGAAGGGCTGGCACCTTCCACCTGCACAACCTCCTGCAGCAACAGGGTCCACAGGGCAGCCCAGGTAACTTCCTTGGAATTCCTTGGAATGTTGAGGCTGCAATGCTCCACAGCAGTGTGAGGCACCTGGGCATGCTCATCCTAACGCTGGGAAGGCAGAATAAACAGCATTCATGACTCAAGCTTTGTTTGCACTGTCAGAGGTTGTTTTTACAATGCGTTTTCAGGAGTCACTGGTGGGTGATGGATACATTCAATTTACAATTTCACCATTCCTAGTACTTTTTGTTTGACTTTTCAAGCCTCTGTGCTGACAGCAGCAGCAAAGCTCAATGCACTGAGAGCTGAAACACTTCAGAAGAGCCTCTCAAAGAAACTGTGTCACAGATCCAGCTCTGTGTGCTCCCGTGGCAGAGAAACATCACATTACACATTTCTGGAGCTTCCTGCCACAACAGCCACTACAACAAGGTCACCCAGAAGGAAAACTGCTTTTTATACTATCATGTAAAATAGGAAGCTATATAAAAAGGACACATTTGCACTGTTTTGAGGGGGCGTTCACTTCTCAGCTCTGTGCACTCTGACACGCTGCAGCATTACACTCCCCTCACAAAGTGCAGTGCCAGGGCTGAGTGACCAGAAGCTACTTCACGTCCACACAAATATCCATCGACCTAAACACTGGGGGGAAAGAGCTGAAATTTTACTTTCACTGCCTTTGGTTTTATTTTAGACTAAAAGAAATACTGACAAATGGTTTCCTGTAGAGCTATATGAATTGGAAACAGAAATTAGAGCACAAAGCTTAACTACAACTAGGGCTCCACACAAGCCAAGCAGCACCCTGAGCTGTCCCCAGCCCAGCAGAGGCACAGGCCACTGCTCCAACTGCTGCTGCCACCGTGGAGATAGGAACCAGCAGCCTCTGCCTGCACCGGGGCACACAGAGCCCACCCTGAGCATGCCCCACACACCCTCCCCCTCGCTGAGCCAGCCTGGCACCTCCCTAGGCTGTCAGCTGAGCCACACAGGACAGGCAGCAATGGCATTCAGGTCTACATTTTGCCTTATTTCACGCCTTGGACAAGGACGACACAGGTAGGTGGAATTTGGAATCTTTGAGATGGAAAGAGAGTTACTGGGCACTCTTAAGAAGATCTTTAAGGGAAAATTATAAACTGGGCTCAAAAGATTTTAGTAGGTCCTGCATCAGAAAGGCAAGGTTGTTTAAAAGTGACAAACTGTGGTGTCTGACCACACACAAACCTGTCACACCGCGGGAAGTGGCCTCAGTTCAGAGACTGATGCACTTCTACCCAAAAATGTTCAGCTGTGGAACATCTTCCTTGGTCAGAGATGCTAATTATTAAGAAAAATAGGTGGTTTTCACATCTGTGAAGGGATTAGTGCCTGTTCCAGGTCTCCTCTAGTCCGATGCAGGAAGGTCCAATCTCTTGCTGAATACATGTGGACATTGGTCTGAAGCTACCACCACTAAGAGGTGCTGAGATCTGCACTGCAAGATCTGCACTCAGGCTGTGCAGAAGGGCTACATTAAGCCATGGATTTTGCTTTATCACTTGTAATTAATGAACACAAAGTTAAATCATCTCTATTGAGTACAAGTCTGTACGTAATGCTTGTATTTTCAGAGGTTATGGAGTAAACTTAAGTGCTCCATCACTTCAAACAAAACCACTACTTCAACTTTTTGGCACAAGATACAACTTTGTAAGAACATTTAGAATTCAGAATCTGTCAGAAAACCTTTGTGTGCCACAGGATCCAGAATGACAGGGCTGAAACTGCTGTTGTGACAGACCCGTCACACATGTAGCACCCACCTGAGCACAGGTACCCCAGGGAATGGGCAGCTCCCACCTGAGCACAGGTACCCCAGGGAATGGGCAGCTCCCACCTGAGCACAGGTACCCCAGGGAATGGGCAGCTCCCACCTGAGCACAGGTACCCCAGGGAATGGGCAGCTCCCACCTGAGCACAGGTACCCCAGGGAATGGGCAGCTCCCACCTGAGCACAGGTACCCCAGGGAACGGGCAGCTCCCACCTGAGCACAGGTACCCCACAGTTTAGCACATCCAAGATCCAAGCTCCCAGTGGAGGCAGCACACAGAGCCCTCTCACTGGCGACACCACCCCAGCCTGATGAAAATCCCCTTTGGAGGGAGGAAGGTGGGAGATGTATCCCAGGGGATTCCCGTCAGGGAAGGAAATTCTCGTCATTTTCAGTAAGCAGCTGGAGACATGTGAATGCATCTGAGCCTTGTGCCTTCGGCTCAGGTTCTGGAGAAAGTAACAAACACAATACCTAGGAAAAAATCACCTGGATGCTTGGCAGCAGCTCAAGGCTGGACTCAGGTGAGGCCACGTGGGCCATCCCTGTCTCTGTTCTTCAGGGCACTGCTGTGTGCAGTACAACACTTCAGTCTGAAACACACTACACACACTGCTTGGGAAAAGTAAGATCAAAGCTGCTTCAGGGTTATGTGAAGAGAGAGATGAAACAGCACACCTTGTTCTCCAGAGCAGTGTTCCAGGCTCAGCCCTCGCTCCAGTGGGAACCTGCCTCACACAGAGCAGCTGTGGAAAGAGGCTCCCCCTCCTGCCCAGGCTCACCTGACACACAGGTACCATCCCTGGGGCACAGCCAGCACAGTGCCCAGGACACACCTCACAGCACAGCCCACCAGTGCCAGAGACTCCCTCGCCAGCCCTGAGGTAAAGCACAGGGCTGGGACCTGCAGCCACTGCCTCTGCAGCTCTGATTCTGCACAGATTACAAACACAGAGGCACAGGAAAGTCAACAGGAGGAGGGAATATCTGCTCCAATGCCTTTGAATTGAAGCAAGAATGGAACATTCCTATTGACTTTGAGGTTTTACAAAAACTTCCTTCACTGAAAGCCATCAAACCTCACAAACTACAACTGGGGAGCCTAAACCACAGCACACACCATACAGGGCTCCTTCTCTAAAGCACATCAGAATCCCAGGAATCACTGAGGTTGGAAGAGACCTCTGAGATCATCCAGTCAAACCTTTGACCGATCTCCACCTTGTCAGCTGGACCATGGCACCAAGTCCAGTCGTTCCCTGAACACCTCAGGGGATGGTGACTCCACCACCCTAATCACTCAGGTTGCCACAGGTTTATACAGGATTAATACCTTTTATTACACCTGATAGATTTAAGACAGCCTAGACTGAAGTGGTTTGGGCAATGAGACTTCTCTGACTGTGCTCACAACTATTGCACTGCTGCATCAGCCTTCCATGATTTCAGCCTGTAACACACTCAGAGTACAGCACATCAAACTGGAAGTGAACATTTCCATAGGAAAAAAGAGATCATTTAATTTCACAGAGACCTGACTCTGTCTGAAATCACAGGAAAATGTACTAACTCCCAGGCTCTTTGAGCCACTGCTGCTGAACTCTATCCTGATCACCCCAAGCTTTGACAAACTCAGTTACAGTGCTTGAGGCAAGCTCTGCCCAGAGCTGTGCCCTGTGCTCCACAGGCTGTGGGACGTGGCCTCACAGGGCCCATCCACAGCTGCTCTGCCCCAGCTACAGCCCCTGGGCAGCCCCAGGACAGCCCTGCAGCAGGTGAGGGCTCAGCCAAGCGCAGGACCAGCACTGACAGGAGCTCCAGAGGTTTATCCTATGAGCCACTTGCTGAGTAACTCACAGAGCTCTGCCTGCCAGTCCTTTCGGGCCCACAGAACTGTGCACAAAGG